CCATTAAGAATGGGAGCAACTGAAGATTAATTGATTAGAAATAAGCCGATTAAACGAAACATCCGTAGGTAAAACATTACTTGTTTCCGAAAAACAGAGTTTTAAAGTTGAAAATCAAAAATTATAAATAGCTACAATTTTTTTATTACTCAGTTTAATTTTACTAAATTCGGCAAACGTTATTGGTGTAATAAAATACATCTATCATCAAAAAATAAGTTAAATAAGCTTTGCCAGTGGCGTACGTCATGGGCCAGTATAATCTTTTTTCCTTCTAAATTTTAGTCCACTGTCCACTTTTGATGTTTTTTAAATAAAGTTGAGTTAGTTTTTGAGATATTCGCACATATTAGAAAATTCTGTAGTTTTTAAATTTCGATTTTTTTTTTATTAAATTTCTAAGAGTACATTATTTATTTTAAAAACATCAAAAAATTTAAAATTTTATGTCCAAATAACATTTTGGATAGTGACGTAAAATTTAAGAGGTATGCGGTATTACGTACGAATGCTGTACGCCACTGGAAAAGTTAATTAAGGTAACTTATTTTTTTGCTGATAGGTGGATAATTTGACACCAAAAACGTTTGCCAAATTTAGTAAAATTGTTGTGAGTAATAAAAAAAATAAAGCAATAAATATTTTTTGGATTTTAACACCTTAACTCGGTACCAAGAAACATTTTATCTAAGCATGATTTGTTTAGTTGTCTTATTTTTAATCAGAGAATCGTCAGTTGTTTTATATCCCATTCTTAACGAAACACTATGTATAGTATAAATGGTCCCTACGTAATGATACGAAGACCGTTGTCCTTTGTTGACTGGACACAAGAATGAACTACTAAACAGCGTTGGGTTTTTAGTAGCAACAGCTTGTACTGAAATTCAGATCATGATTGTACCAGAACGTACTAGATTTTGCGATAAATTTCAAATGAGAACACAAACTCATTTTAAACCAAAAAATAAATAAAATGGGTATAACAAAAATATATTCTTACGTTGGTAAATAAAAAATTTAAAAAGAAACCAAAATAAACTTTATTTTAAACAAAAAAATATAAATTAAAATACGTAAAACAAAAATATATTTTTATATGGTTAAATAATAAAATTTAAAAATAAAAACAAACACTTATTTTTTATAGAAAAACAAATAAAATAAGGGTAAAAATTAAAAAATATTTGTTATGTCAATAGATTTACAATAATTAATCTATAATAGACTGTAAGTGTAGTATTCTTTTTAATAAATAATTTACCGTAATTAACAATGTTTAAATTTATTTACTAGAACATGAAAGTGTAGTCGATATTTATCAGGTTTTTAAATTTCCCGCTGGGTTATTTGTTTGATATCGATGATAGCGACACATAGTGGGCCAGATGTTAACTGCGTTCGAGCTGGTGGTTGTTAAGCATATGCTTAGGAGCGTATCTCATATCTATGTCCCTTATATGAAGACTCATACTCCCTTATCTCTTACCCCTTATTTTCAAAGTATGGGAGCACTCATTTCTCTCAAAATTCTCATCAGAAATGTCGTACGTCAATGTGGAAACGCTGTTTTAAAGGCATCGAGGATTAAAATTCTTACAAGAATTTGAGTTCACACTGGCCCCAAGGGCCCTAAAAATACTGTTTTACGTTGACATATTATGACATTTCTCTTGAGAGGAATGACTTTTCTCGAGTTTGAAAATAGCCTCCCTGGTATAAAGTATCGCATTGGGAGTATCAGAAGTATCTACTGTCTACCATAGAAATTGGAAATCATAGAATACATTATTCTAGAAGATCCAGCGAAATATTTAAAATGTACTAGATTTAGATACTTTTGTCTTTTGTGGTACTAGCATTTATGAATGGTTGAAATGTACTGAATCTAGTACAATTGTACTAATAAACCCAACGCTGCTACTAAATAAATATACCGACGTGCCGAATCTAATGCAAAAGTTTTATTTTTATACCTGTTTCATCGAAAATATTTGTCAAGGTCAAGAACTCGTTTAGTTATTATCGCGTAGTAGCTAGGGGTGATGAATTTGTTAGGTATTTTATAACAGTTACCGTTTAGAACTAATAAAATTATTACGCCATCTGTTGAACAAAAGAACTATTAAATATGGAATATTGCTCCATCTGCTGAACAAAAGGATTCTTAATTTATGACACATAAATGACATCTATCAAGATTAGTTCATGTTACGAATATTGGGGGTGGTACTGTGGTCTTAAATGAAAAATTGATAGCTTAATATAGTAGAGTAGCTATATTCATTCGGGGCCATTCGTTATGTAAATAAACATGGAAAATCGCTAATGTCAATTCTGGCAGTTTTTGTCTCTTTCAAGGTCACACTCCAGTTCTTGCTTGTCAGCAATCAACAGTCATGTCATCTATCAACAGTGTTGCTAACTATATGTCATCTGTCAACAGTGTTACCAAACGTTTGCCATCTGTCAATAGCGTTACCAAACATCTGTCATCTGTCAATCCAGTGTTGCTAACATGTCAACCTAACCTGACAAGTAGATGTTACAAGAATCACCAACTAGGCATAGGATCTTGAACACCAATGATTTTTAAATGCAAAACTTGTAGATCACTCTGGACAGTAGAGTGCTGGTATGGACATTTAAGTAAAGATAGGATAAATATTGTTTATAATTTAAATATGGGAAAATTATTGAACATGGAAAAGTTGAATATGGGAAAGTTAATGAACATGGAAAATCGCTAATGTCAATTCTGGCAGTTTTTGTCTCTTTCAAGGTCACACTCCAGTTCTTGCTTATCAGCAATCAATAGTCATGTCATCTATCAACAGTGTTGCGAACTATATGTCATCTGTCAACAGTGTTACCAAACGTTTGTCATCTGTCAATAGTGTTACCAAACATCTGTCATCTAATATGTCCTTACGAGAAGGCAGTTTTCCAAGTAATTGGAAGATATCTAAAATATGTCCAATCTTTAAGAAAACTACAGACCTATATCCATCCTTAGCAATTTTGGAAAAGTTTTCGAAAATGTCATTTATGAAATACTTTTCGCTCATGTAAAATCGATTATATCTACGGCACAGCACGGCTTTTTTCCAGGCAGATCCACAGAGACCAATCTGATATGCTTTACACAATATGTTGCGCAAAACCTTGATAGGGGTGGCCAGGTTAAAACTATATATACTGACTTTTCCAAGGCCTTTGATCGCCTCGATCATAGTATACTTTTGAACAAGCTTTCCATTGTTGGACTCACTACGTCTTTTCTGCGTTTCTTTGAATCATATTTAAGTAATCGTAAATTGAAAGTTGAATACCATGGTTTTCAGTCAATTTGTATAAAAGCTTCTTCCGGTGTCCCTTAAGGTTCAGTTCTAGGACCACTTTTATTTTCCATTTTTGTAAATGACATTACTGAAAACTTATCATGTAATACTCTACTCTATGCCGATGATTTCAAATTGTTTAAATCAATCTCTAGTATTGATGACTGTTTGATTATGCAGGAGAACCTAAATAAATTGAACCTTTGGTGTAATTCTAACAACTTACCACTAAACATATCTAAGTGCAATTCTATGAGCTTCACTCGCAAACTAAATCCGATTGAGTATAATTTCACTGTCAACAATATTACCATCAATAAATGTCTTTCTTTTAGAGATCTTGATGTTCTTTTCGACGCTAAATTAAATTTTATTGAACATGTCAATACTATTCAAAAAGAAGCATACAGAAATTTGGGTTTTGTCATTCGAAATGGACGCCAGTTCTCTGAGCCTAACACTTTAAAAACTATTTTTAACGCTTTTGTACGTAGTAAGCTAGAATATGCGTCCATTGTTTGGAGTCCTGGATATGAAGTATATAGCCAAGCATTAGAAAAAATTCAGCGAAAATTTGTCAAATATTTGTGGTGCAAGCTAGATGGCGTCTACCCTACTCGCAATATTCCGCAAACCATCTTGCTGAATAGATTTGATATCCTTGAATTACGTACTCGCAGGAAATGTTATTCTATCTGCATTCTTTACAAATTATTAAATTTTAAAATTGACTGTCCCGAACTACTTCGTCAACTAATGTTTAATGTTCCTTGTATCAGAACTCGCTCCCCTTTTTATTTCTATTTTCAGACACCCAGGACAAATATTTTAAAATTTTCTCCAATGTATTTTATGTATCAAAATTTTTGTGAACTTCAAAATGATGTTGATTTATTTTCTATTTCAATTAAAGAAATAAAACGCTTAATTGTGGACTGAGTTAATTATCATAAGACAACGTAATTTTTTCTCCTAAAGTAGTTTTTTTTTGCGTTTTCTTATGATGGTTAAAAACGTTTATTAAACTATTTTTTGTTTACATATATTTATGCTATTATTAGTATTTAATATTTTGTTATCATTTTTATGATGTAAATTATACTGTAATTGTAATTATTTTTGTGCCCATCCTGTAATTGGTTTTATACTGTTGGATGGTGTAACCCAAATAAATAAATAAATCTGTCAATCCAGTGTTGCCAACATGTCAACCTAACCTGACAAGTAGATGTTACAAGAATCACCAACTAGGCATAGGATCTTGGACACCAAGGCTTTTTAAATGCAAAACTTGTAGATCACTCTGGACAGTAGAGTGCTGGTATGGACATTTAAGTAAAGATAGGATAAATATTGCTTATAATTTAAATAGTTTATAATTTAAAAAGTTATTTTTAATAGGGTAAAGTCAACAATGTATAATAAAAATAAAAATATTTTGTTTTAAATTATATTTTTAAAGTAACAGTATTAAGTATTTACATTAACTCAATAAGTTTTAAAATTGTCTCTCTTCGAAGCTCAGCTTTTTTATTTAGGCCCATTTTGTAATTAGTTTCTTTTTCTTAATTTGTTTTTCTTTGTAATGATTCCTAATTTCCATTCCTCGTTCTGTTTTGTAAAATTGTCTTCATTTGTCGTTAGTTTCTTCCCTTCGCCTCATTCCTTCGGCACCTCTTTCACATCTACATGTGGGTTTATCAAGAAGTTATTTTTCCGATGTGTATTTGTCTGTTTAACACCTTCAGATGCTAATTCTGAAATTTCTGTGCGTACTAAGCAACACTGTTTTCCTCGGGAATGTAACCAATTTTGTTTGAATACTCTTCTATCGTAATAAGAATGAGGTGTACCTCTAAGACCATCTCCATCCCTTCTAAGCGGCTTTTGTCCATCAGCACAGGTAATGTATTTGAGGACACCAACAGCATGGTCCAAGCAAATTATTTTCTTGAAAGTTGTTTTTGAATAGAGTAGTGTACCAGTGCTCTGTAGTTTTTTCTTATATGCTAACATGGTAAATCCATTAGTAAAATGTATTAAAGCGTGAATATGTTCATGTGCTGTACTATCATCGTCTGCTATCAGATGACATCAACAAATAGAATACCATTTAATATTTGGAGCACAAGCAAGTAAATTAAAGTACTTTTTATTCAATATTAAGTGATACCAGTTTCAGACAATTCTTTGTAATCTTATGCCATTTTCTGTTGCGACAAAGCGTTAATTTCATTTAGATTCAAGAGAGTTAAAAAATCAGTTTTTTGACAATCAAGACATTTTTGTTACTTTTAGAGAAGCTACTCGTAGAAAATGTCTCAGTAGACTGGAAGAGTCTTTAATGTCTCAATACTTAAAATAAATAATTCATTACCCCCGTCACCAAAATTTTTATAAAAAACTAATTTTAAAAAATAGGAAGTTCACAAAAAATCTGTGGAACATAATAAAAGAAATAACCGGAGACAATGAAAAAAAAAAAAGAAACAATTGAAGAAATACGACTTAAAACAGGCGATCTTATAAATCTGCCAAAACAAATATCAAATGAGTTTAATATATTTTTTCTAACATCGGAGAAAAACTAGCTGCTCAGATTAAAAAACACTTCAAGACCTAATAAGTATTTTCTACAAAATTCCTTATTCTTAGAGCCAGTCACAGAAAATGAAATAAAAGACTCAATAAACTCATTAAAAAACAAAAAAATCACAGAGAATAGATAACGTAACATCTGAAACAATTAAAATTCTAGCTAACGAAATAGCGTCATTACTTTTAAATGTAATCAATAAAATATATAGATCTGGTAAATGTCCAAAACAATTTAAAAAACAGTTCTTGTGCCTATAAATAAAAAAGGTCCAAAAAATCTAAATAATAATTATAGACCAATTTCTTTAATTACAACTTTTACAAAAATCTTTGAAAAAAATTTAAAGGTAGAATGGAAAAATTTATAAGAAATATATAATATTATGTCAAAGTGTCAGTACGGTTTTCAAAAAGGCTTATGTAAAAGTGATGCTATTTCAGCTTTATTATAAATAATTTGTACAGCTGTAGATGAAACCAAACCATCCTTATGCGTAGTTCTGGACCTTGCAAAGGCTTTTGACATTGTGAGCCACCCACAATTGTTGGAGACCTTGGAAGATTCAGGAATACATGGCATTACACTAGAACTCTTAAAAAATTATTTGTCTGATAGAGTACGGATGGTAAAAGTTGAAAATGAAGTCAAACAGTTAAATTTGGAATACCCCAAGAAATAGTGTTGGGTTCATTACTATTTTCAATTTACCTAAACAATATTTTCACTATTGAAACTCTAGGTATTATCATTATATTTGCAGATGACACAGCGGTATTTTATGAGGAGTTGGGAATAATTAAAAGAAAAAGCTGAAAAGGATCTAAAACAAATAATAAATTGGTTTGAACATAAACAACTTACAATTAACTACGAGAAAACTTATTTGGTGTCCTTCTGTAGCTACAAAAATGCACTCCCACTATATAAATCGCTTAAAATATATCAAAATAATGAGACAATAAGAAAAGGATTATATTAAATATTTCGGAGTAACTGTCGACTCTAATTTAAGATAGAATTTTCATGTAGATAATATTATTGAGGCCGTCCCTATGGGGCCTCAGTATTGCATTCGTGCAGACGAAACAATTTTGTTACCTCCATTTTCTAATTTTTTTTTATGTGTTCGATCATTCTAAGTCCGAAAATGCAAAAAAAAAAATGTTTCGTCTGGTCGTCTGTGTGTATGTATGCCGGCACGATAACTCTAAAACAAAAGTTCTGATTGACTTGCGGTTTGGATTATCTTGAATAATTACTTCTAACTTAGAACCCTATTGAGTTTCAGAATTTTCGGTTCATCCTAACTACTTTAATATCAATTTTCTTAAAATCCGCCTGTTTTTTTTTATATTCTAATCATTCCTATGGTCTAATATTCCAAAAAATCTTAACATTCCATATATTGCAAACATTCTCCAACGACCTGTCAAACAACAGCTGTTGATTGTAAAGATGAGACTTCTAAGGCGGGTTGCGATCTTCATACTTGCTACCTAACCATTTTGGAGGCTATTTTTATTCGAAATTAGTCGCAAGCCTGCCAATTCATACAAAATATATGAGCAGTTTCTAAAAAATGACTTTTTTATGGTGGTGCTAACTTAAGCTTACTACTATTTCGCCCCTAGTCACAAAAAACACCATTAAATTTACTGGATCTCTGTCGCAACCCCATAGAATAATTAACCGGTCATTTTATTTGGCAAAAATCAGAATAATGCTTGGCTGTACCTGTCAAGTATCAAGATGTCAACTGTGATGTGTGAATGGCTCTTAAATGTCAAATTATTTAAAAATGTTTGTATGCTTCTTTTGATATTTATTGCAAATAATTTGTAGTATATCTCAATTCAGGCTTTCCATAAATAAAGGTACAGCAAGACAGATAATATAATGTTATACAAAACACTTTTTTAATATACAGGGTGTACCAATAAAAACTCCCAGGCCGGATATTTTGGTAAGTAATAGAGATATTTTAATTCTGTAAAAGCCAGTTCACAGAGCACTAAGAGAGCTTCAGTTTTAGATATAAATTGATTTTAAATAAGTCAATATGTAGATGGCGCTGCACTCAATAATTTCTTTTCGATGGGAGGATCTTTCTTGTGTAGCGCATCTTGTAAAAAATACATTTTTAAGCAGATTTGGTTCTATGAACTAATTCGATAAATCGAGCCATTTTTGATATACAGAGTGGGTCACTTAAAACAGTTTCATCCTGTTTTTCAGCATTAATCATTGGATTTTAAGAAAATGCTAAAACATTTTTAAAATACAGACATCTGTCATGTGTCAACCCTCACCCTTGTACTTCTCCACACCTTAATTACTAATAATTTAAACATAATAATAATACTCTCCCTAATTCACCCCCTTACAAGTGAATTTTAACCCCAAAAACTGAGCTTATGCGAGGAAAGGGACGGCTATTATTAATATTATTAATATTTGCCGTGACGCTCCAGGGCGATTTAAAGATGATTAATGGTGCCATTTGACTTATAGGCGAGGAAAACCCGGGAAACCTAACCCACCATCATCGAAAACGGTAGCGCATGGTGATTTTATTTTAATAATCTGGATGTCATATCAACAGAAATTAAATTTCTGCGAATATGGCATCCATCAAATCCTAAAGAGAACCATGGAAAGAAATTCACATTGTCTTCCGTAGGATCTGAAACCCTGTCTCGTTTTACCAGTAAATTGACTGACAAATGAATGCCGCGCCGTAGACACCTACACCATCGTAGTCAGTAATAGGTAGTATTAATATAACATCAAGTAACATTTTAAAATAAAGTACATGATCTCAAAACAGAAATAATTTATAATAAATGCGGGTAAAACGAGGGGTAAAATAACAATAAATTAAGGGAAATACTTAAAAAGGGCAGGTTTAAAGAGTATTATCACAAGAAAGTAGGTATATCTGTTCTGTTTATTTATCAAGTATTGTTTGGGGTTATTTTTGAATACATTTATTGTTGTTTTTTTTTAATTTATGTAAGCAAACCTTTAATAAAAATTGTATTTTGGAAACTGATAAATATATTTAACTACAATAAATTCTCCAAATTTACTATACAAATTGTAAAAAAATCTTGATACATTATTTAATAGAAGGTACAAATAATAAAATTACTAATTTAACTAAATAAATAAAAGTGAGTGAAGATTCTTGTTTAACATTGAACTTGCCTGCAATTTTTTTTAATTATTAGGTAAAACTTTTTTTATCTTTTAATTTCTCTTACAATTTAAGTACTACTTTGGATCGAATATTTAGAATTTTATGCCCATGCGCAATCTTAACAGGTCATCAATGTGCTTTTCCTGTTAATTCTTTTTAGATAGATATTCGAATAATATGGGGAACTTTATATAATTAATTATAAGTATGTTAATACTATTAAATTTAAATTTTGTATTATAATTGAAGAAAAATTGAATAAACGATTATTATTATTAATATACTTTAAAGATGAGATTTTAGATTCAACTTAATCGAATTCTAACATTTAAATACAATAATGTAAAGCACTATTAGCTAATAATCTAATTTTTTTGCTATTATTCCCATGGTTAGGTGTATTTTGTTCTCACAGACACTGAACATAAAAATAATAGAAGCAGAATTGTATTTTATATAAAAATATCATCTACGGCACTGTCTCACATCTAGGGATTTTTACTTTTATTTTCACAAACTGATCACGTGGGATACGGGTATTCTTAAACTACAATTAAATACCTACTTTTATATTTCGAAACACGGAAAAAAGTAATTTAGGAGTTTCTTAAATGTTAATATAAATTAAACAATGTTCTTGAACTTTCTTCGTTATATCAATTTAAAAAGAAAATAAGACAATGTTTACCACGAATTAAGTTTAATTTTCGTTTCCTAATCCCCTTCGTATTACTTTTCTGTCCCGATCCACAAAACTCAATTAAGAAATGAACTTTTTGTTTCTTCTTTTCTAAACTTATTTTCTCTCGTTTTGTAGGAATTCCGAGATCTCGTTGGATTTACAAATGTTACTCGTCAAAAAAACTATTTAAAATAAAGTGTTTTTTTATTTAGTATTTATATTTACATCCAATTTAAACAAAGGAAAACTAATTCTAGTTAGAAAGGATATCTCAGGTTATTTCAGTTTGTTGAATCCTAATCATTTTAAATCTTTATTTATCATTTCGATAGGTATTTTATTAAATAGCCTCATTAATGTCACTTGTAATTTGAGTTGCCTATTAGTAGATTCAAATCAAAGACATTTTGGGATGTGTTTGATTAAAATATATTTGCGCGAATTTTTGAGACCGACTCACGATTGTAGACTCGTACGGTGAAAAGTCCTTTGAGAAGGTCAGTACGAAATAAACCGTTTGGAAGACCGGTAAAGTT